GGGGGGGGGGGGGGGGGGGGAGGGGAAGTATTTTTTTTCGAAAGATTTACAATTTGTGTAAGAATTGCGTGTTTTTGACACTAACAAAGTTTAATTTCAACACAGACTGTGTGTTTTTCTTTTTTTTTTTTTTGAATTTATATTAAAAATTACGTGTTTTTGGCGTGACAATTACGTGATCTCACGTGAAGCAAGACGCTAGTTAACCCTGAAATGCTTGCGCTTCCTGGGCAATCAGTGTGGGTATCCCATGTTAGTGATGTTACTGAGTGCGCAAACTAGGCCGGGGTTTTTTTTTTTTGGAGTTTTGAACTGTAAAATTGAAAAGACCTCACATTTACCTCAAAAATCGAGTTGGTAGGGTAATAAGCAGATTGTAGCAATCAGGTTGTTGAGGGATTGAGGAAGTTTTACAGTGGCGGGATTCGAACTCACGAGCCCCTAACTGCCCGCACAGCTTAAGCTAATACACAAATTGTACTGGGCCCCAGTCATTATTGATTGCGATTAAACGCTTTCATCCAACTTGCACATTCCTAAGCACGTAGTAATCCATCGAAGGAATGGATGAAAGAGGAGAAAAACCATGCGGTGGGTCGCCCAGACTATTAGCGTGGAGCCCTAGATGTTGCAAAAAATCTATTTTTTTTAATCAATTTAACCCAATTTGGAAGAAATCGTCTTCATAATCGTTAATCGTTTTCATAAAAAAATTTTAATTTTGTGAAAAAAAATCGTTGTGTGTGTGTGTGTGTTACAGGGAGAGCAATCCATTTGTTCCTCCGTTTCATTGAGTTCGCATCTTCCCGTTTGGTGCGACTCCAGAACAACTGACAAACACATCGGTTGGTGAAGTTTTTTTTTCTCCAATTTTTTGAATTTTTGCTAAATAATAAAAACGAGTTCGAATTGTGATTCTCAATCTATAAAAATTAAATCTAGTAAAAAGACGAAAAAAGTCCAGTAATTAAATTTAGTACAAAGTCAGGTAGGGGCAAGCAAAATTTTTTTCGCAGAATATACTAACTCGGTAATCAGAAAAGCTAGGAAGCTGAAATTTTAACGGGATGTTTTTTTCGGAGAATATACTAATTCGGGAACCGGAAGAGCTAGAAAGCTGAAATTTTAAGGGAATGTTCGCTGCCAGCGTATGACCAAAAGATTTCAACTTAAGCTTCATGTTGGGCGCAAGCCGGGCTTGCACTCCAGCAATTTTAGCTTCCATAAGCATTTATTGCTTTTTTATTCGACCGGAATGATTCATGCATGTATGTACACACAGAGACGTGGTCTCGTCACAGGGCTTATTTTCCTTTTCATTTATCGAACGAGACGGGATGTGTGACTTTTTGTGCTTTTGCGTATTAATCGAAAATTAGGTTGAATTCACACCTGAATCGGTAAATTAAGGTAAGAGTTGGATGGGGGGAGGAGGGAGGGGGGAGGCTTTCAGGCGGGAAATTTCAGCTTCCTAGCTTTTGTGGTTGAATATTGTTGGCGTAATGACTCATGCATGTACACAGACATGGTATTTATCATTGCGTTTTTTCCTCGGCTGATGTATTAAACGAGGTCGTGTGTGTGTGTGACATTTTGTGTTTTAATGTATGAATCAAAAATTAGCTGTAATTCGAACTGGATTCATAAAACCAAGGAGTCTGAGAAAGAGAGAAACTCAGCGATCTCAGATTTTTTACTTCATGCGATGATTCCTAAAATTTCAGCTTCCTAGCTTTTGCAGTTGATTAGTGCCGGCGGTATGACTCATACATGTACAGACGAATATTGACTTTCTTCTAACTCATTTTCGCATAAAAGATGAAGTGAGTGTATGTGTGCATGTGTATGTGTAGGTGTGTGTATGTATGTATTTGTGTGCATGTATGTATGTATATGTGTGTTGGCATCCATGGTATATGCAAGTTTTTTTTAATCGAATCGTTAAAATTTGAACCATTTAAGCCTCTGTTTTACTAGCTAAGCATCGAACCATCCGGAAATTTCTAGAACTGCAAAAAATGTTTCAGCACTGGTAAAAACGAAGTCCGACCTAGCCCATTGGAACGCGCGAGCCGATCACCGTGGAAAAACGAGCCAGACCAACAGGCGGTATACTGAAAAATCGTTGAAAAACAATGGAAAACAGAAATGTGAATTATGAGCATGAACAGCAAGCAATTGGGGAAAGCGATTTGGCAACCGAAGGTTCATGAGTTTCTTTGATTTTAAGAGGCTTCATCGATTTTTTTCACTGAAAATGGAACTTCAGATTTACAAAGATACAGCGACAAAACCGTCATCAGCTCATTTCAAAAAAAAAAAAAGAGGGAGATATCGATTGTTTTCATCGTCACCAACAGATGGTTGCTGTTGTTACTTGCTTCCAGTTCGAATTATTTCCACTTGTCTCTACCTCAGGGAAAGGGGAAGAAGGGAGGAGGGGAGGGGGATTTCGATTTTTGGCTGCAAATTCAAGCTATTTCCTCTTTTCTCCGCCTTTGGCGAGGGGGGGAGGGGGAATTTCGATTTTTTGCTGTGGTGATTCCACAACGTAGGTGTAATGTTACATCATTGCCATTCAGCAGGTACCCTCCTTCTGGGATCTTTTTTTCCCCATCATATAACCAATCGATTATTTACTTGTCAAAAATTAGATCCTTTTCCATCATTCTTCTTCCGTAAAATAGTAGAATAGAAGGATTGGACTAAGTGTCATGTGTAAGAAGACATTTTACGATGCAGCCTGTGTGAGTACTGAGAAATATTCGAAATGGTAGTATGTGCCAACGGCAGCCACGCTGAGGAAGCTATCAGTGGCTATTTCTTTCAAGTGTTCTTACTCAGGCAAGCTGATGGCGGATTTGACTTTTTGGCATGCTCCAGTACCAGTTTACCATCGAAACGAATGAAAGAATTGTGGAATAATTAGTTGCCACAATTGCAGAGACAGGCCCTCAATCTTTCATTTTTTTACGTTTATTTTTTTGCAAAATATTCGATTTGCCTTACACGGTTCACACATTTCTTTTAAGGATCATTGAGCCTAGCGCCAGGTGCTGAGCGACATATAGCAATGCAAAATGGTGCAGGAGCAGGAGCAGCGGGGCCAAGTGGAATCAGTTGTGCTGCAATGCCCGGTGTTAATGTACTGGATTATAGCATTGATTTCCCGGAATTGCCCGATACTGCGCATGCCGGAGCTGACAGCCTACTCGGTGGCGCCTGGAATAAACCACCAGCATTTCGTTCGGAGAAAAGCACCCGTACAAATCATACGGTGGTAAGGCTTCGAACTTCTCGGTTTTGTGGATTTGTTCATTTTTCAGAAAGTCAGAGCCGTCCACTGTATTCGATTTTTTGGAAATGATGGAGGAACTCTCGAATTTTGCCTTTTTTTTTCAAAAATGTTGTCAAGTGTCCTCCTTCGAACTTAATTTTTGAAGTAACTGTTGGCAATCGTAGTCTGTTACAGGCTATGCATGTTTTTATCGTTTTCTTTCCTCAAATTGTGAAGGGAATTGGCTTTTCCTTTTCCAACGTAGTCAAGGGACATTCCCCTAAATTTTCAGCTTCCAAGCATCTGTAGTTCCTGAGTTGAAAGTTGCGGACAAAATATACACTGGACAAACATACACACACTTAAACAAACAAACACACAAAACATCCCCGTAATAATGTGCTTTTGTGCGGCTGTGCAATAGATTATCGATTTTGGCCTGTCATCGACGGCAAACAATTGGATGAAACAGTTGGATAAGTTGCTTATTGAACATGATTTGAGGTTACAGTTTGGGATGAGGAGGGGTCAGAAAGACGATCATAACTTTTGTGCTGGCACACTTAATTAAAGTACGTAGGACAACTACAAATCATAGTTTTTGTTCCTTAATTATATGGTTGAGAAATTCCTCACCCTTCCCTCCCCTCGCTTTGACCCATGTTGCATTGTCTGGTGGTCAGTCTGCTGACGGTCTCGACATTTTCATTTCGTCTTCTGAAAGGATTACCAGCTCACCAGTTCTCGCAATGGAAGCACTTGTAGAGTTGTCCTTTTCAAGATTCCTTTGATGTACTGAAATAGAAAGGGTAAAAAGGGCCATGGAAGCTCAACGAGGAAGTGATCATTTCAAGTAGGAATGTCTGCACGAGGGTTGGCAATGAAAACCTTCAGTACCATGAGTGCCAGTGCAAAATATGTAGGTCAAAAACTTCTTCTGAAGTCGTAAAAATCTAGAGGTGTTAAACATCACCATCTGATCCTCGTAAACCATAACGAGGTTCTTTATCGACTAGAAGCCTAAATCAGTGCATGCAAAGGAACCACATATTTTTAACAAGCATGTGTTTACTTCTATTTTTGACATAAATTGATTCAATTTTTTATTTTTAGGTTCTGCATTTTCCGTGTGACCAGCGTGCTTCGATGACCGGCGAGAAGAGTTTCGGGAATGTGAATGCTGAGCAGCAGAAGTGCAACGAGATCGCCAATGCCACTGCTACACATATTGAAGTTTGCGAAGCCAAAGATCATTCGTTGACAGTTCTGATCACTGGAAAACGTCCAAAAGTGGAGGAGGCACGTTCACGTGTTGCACGTGAGCTACAGACTCAGACAACCCGTGAAATTGCGATACCGAAGGAGCACCATCGTGTCCTGATTGGTGGGTTTTTCTTTTTTTTTTTTTTTGATATTTTTATTATTGGTGAGAGGCTAAGGGATTGGGAGGGGACAGGAGCCTATGTGTTAAAATATGTAGTTTGTTTGGCGTTGTTGAGTCCACCGCGGAGAGGAACACAATCGAATTTTGACAGTTAAGGAAAAACTGGAAGTGGCATTTAGATCTACCAAATAAGCAAGCCTGTATGTGTACATTGAGCTGATATCCTGTCTGTGTTTCATCCCTGAGTTGTAAACGCAGACGGCAGAATCGGTGCGAAATGGGGTGGGAATCATCAGTGCATTGCCCCATCGCGCCATGTTAAAAGGAACATGTGGATCACCGAAGGAAGACGTATGTATTATTGTAAGAGGTCAGCACCAAAGGGCCTGATACAGTTGCGTCCGGCTTAAGAAAGCTTCTTAGTGGGTTTATTATTATTGGAATTCTGAGTCCAGTCGGTCATACTGCATTTGCCGTGTTATTTTTAATGGATTTCAGGAAAAGAAGGGTCGAAATTGCGTCAGTTGGAACAGGAAACGGATTGCCGCATAATGGTACCGGGCCGTGATGCGCCAAGTGATATCATCAAAATTGTTGGTCCACGTGAGGGCATTGAACGGGCTGTACACGAACTGCAGCTAGTCAGTGACAAGCAGTCAAAGTTGGCCCAAGAACATCTGATGATACCACGTATCTACTACCCGTTCATCCGTGGACCATTCAACGAAACGATCGACGAGCTGGCTGCAACAACTGGTGCCAAAATCAACATCCCACCACCATCTGCCGCAAGCGAAGTGATCGTTGTGACCGGTGAAAAAGAGGGTGTCCATCGTGCAGCTGCTGCGGTGCGCGAAATCTACGAGAAAATGAAAGAGCTCGCAAAACCGGTTACCTGTCAGGTGGCACGTGCCCAACATCGTTACATCATCGGACCGCAACGACGTGGCTTGGCGGAAATCCTGAAAGAAACTGGCGTAAGCGTGGAAGTGCCACCGGAAGAAGAAGACTCCGATACGATAACGCTACGTGGCGACCCGAGCAAACTGGGCGAAGCATTGGCTATGGTTTATGCAAAAGCCAGTAGTGTTATTACGGCCGAAATCACATGCAAACCGTGGATGCACAAATTTCTCATTGGACCCAAAGGCAGCACCCTGCAAACATTGGTTCCGAACCGGGATCGAGTACAGATTGGTTTCGAGAATGATGGCCTGATATATTTGGAGGGATCGCCAGAAGATGTGAAAAAAGCCCAAGCATCGTTGCTGAACGAAATCGACCGTCTCACCGAGGAAATGTCTTCGGAAACGATCAAAGTTCACCCCTCGCTTCATCGACATGTTATTGGCCGAGGAGGTGCACTGATTTCCAAAATCAAAGAGGAAACCGGTGTCCAGATCACTATCCCACATGAACAGACAAATTCGGACGAGATCAAAATTGAGGGAAACAAAGAGGGTGTCAAAAGAGCAATTGATGAAATTGAAGAAATTGTGAAGAGATTGGAGAACGAAAAAACACGCGACATACTGATCGAGCAACGCTTTCACAAACAGCTAATTGGTAGCAAAGGTGAAACTGTGCAAAAACTCCGTGAACAATTCCCCTCGGTCATTATCTCATTCCCAGATCCAGGCAAAAAATCGGATATTGTCAGCCTGCGTGGTGACCGAAATGAAGTGGATAAGGCATACAAACAATTGACAGCAATGAACAAAGAACTGGTAAGTCTCAAATTACAAAATTTTTGTAGCAAAATGAAAGAAAAAATGAAAATAGGTAGTATGAGATATTGATTGATCAGCTATTTTGAGATATTGATTGATTGATCAGGCTTTAACATTCCAATTCAGTTTTCATTTTTAATTTCATTTTTGTTTTTTATTTTTTACAACCTCTTTCATGACTATAAAATATCTAAATTTAAATGTATAAGCGAAAATAAAAAAAAAAAAAACTAGAAGGGACCTTTTCCACAATTGCGTTTCTGCATGAAGGATGCGGTAAAATGTATGTGTATATATGTGTATGTATGTATGTATGTATGTATGTATGTATGTATGTATGTATGTATGTATGTATG